CTGTGGTGGTGGTGGTGGTGGTGGTGGTGGTGGTGGTGGTGGTGGTGGTGGTGGTGGTGGTGGTGGTGGTGGTGGTAATGGTGGTGGTGGTGTGTGTGTGCGTGTGTGCGCGTGTGCTGTGGCATGGCACGGGAAATGACGCCAGCGCTGCAGCGGGAGCACGAGTCGAAACGGGCGGAAGCGCGGAAATGAGGCCAGCGCTGCAGCGGGAGCACGATTCGGAACGAGCGGAAGCGCGGAAATGAGGCCAGCGCTGCAGCGGGAGCACGATTCGGAACGAGCGGGGCCCGAAAATGAAGCCGGCGCCTCAGCGAGAGCAGCATTTTAGAAAAAAACACAAGCGAAAACCCAACTCCGGGGAATCCTGTGTGTAAAAACAGTACGCGGGGGGGTGCCGAATATCTTCCGGACGCCATCAGGGGAAGTGGGAGAGTATTTTCATATTGTGTAATTGTGAGGAGTGAGGAGGAGGAGGAGGAGGAGGAGGAGGAGGGAGGAGGAGGGAGGAGGGAGGAGGAGGAGGGAGCAGGAGGGCGGAGGAGGAGGAGAGGAGGGGAGGAGGAGGAGGAGGAGGAGGAGGAGGGGAGGTGGGGGAGGGAGGCGGAGGGAGGGAGGGCGGGAGGAGGGATGAAGGGAGGCAGGAAGGGAGAGGAAGGATGTGGGAGGAGGAGGGTGAGGGGGAGGAGGAGGAGGGCGAGGGAGGAGGAGGAGGAGGAGGAGGGGGAGGAGAGGAGGAGGAGGAGGAGGAGGAGGAGGAGGAGGAGGTCAGGGGAGGGGGAGGGGGAGAAGGAGGAGGAGGAGGAGGAGGAGGAGGAGGAGGAGAGGAGGAGGGAGGAGGAGGAGGGGGGAGGGAGGGAGGAAGGATGTGGGAGGAGGAGAAGGAGTGAGGGAGGGCAAGGGGGAGGAGGGAGGAGGAAGGAGGAGGGGTGAAGGATAGATAGCACAGTGATCAGGAGGATCAGAAAGACGATGGGCAGGAGGAGGAGGAGGAGGAGGAGGAGGAGGAGGAGGAGGAGGAGAAGAAGGATGGTCAAAGAAGCGGGGAGGAAGAGGAGACTGAGGAACACACGTCCCATGGGGGTGCCGTCAAGTTACCAACGAAGGAGAGCAGCATGCCGTAGGGACATGTGGTGGGCATGGTTGCATAGCTGCGATGGGGCCACTGCCAGCTCGGCGCAGATCTTGTGGCGGAACAAATCCGCGAGATTGACAAGACCGTGGGCAGTCTCAATCGCGAGATCGGTGCCCTCATACTGTCTGCCCTCCGTCCCGAGGCTGAGCCACAGGCGGGGGGGGGACGGTGGGGATGTGCAGGCGGGGCACGGCAGTGAGGTGAAGCAGGAGGGGGCAGGAGAAACAGTGGAAGCACGGCTCCGGGTGGCCAGGGCTGCCACATCCGCAGGTTCGCGTGCATTGGAAGCCTTGCCCCTGTAGCTGTTGATCTACCCTCTGGCGAGGGCTTGCAGGTGGGACCGCGCTTCGCATGGCCGAGAACATGCCAAGATTCGGGGAAGTGCGGGCCGCCTTGCCTTCGTAAGGGCTGGAGACATGGGTTCGAGAGGGAGCCACTTCTCAAGCCTTCGGAAGATCCGCCGGCCCCCTTGTGGGGCCACCAGGCTGTAGGCCCGTGATTCGCAGTTTCCTGTACCAGTCGTAGTTTGTAGTTTCCAGTGTTACAGTTCTGCTTCCTGCTGGTTACTGTAACTAGTTGATTAACCGCGCGAGGGGGGGGAGGCCCAAACCAGATTTTTAGCACCCCCTGGGCGCGTTGCCTGAATTGCTGGGGGGGCTCGAAATCGACACCCCTCACGCAGATCCGCGGGGTCAGGGTCCAAAAACACATGGGATTTGCCACATTTCTGAAATTCGGTGCCACCCCTCACGCAGATCCGCGGGGTCAGGGTCCAAAAAACACCAGGGATTTGCCACATTTCTGAAATTCGGTGCCACCCCTCACGCAGATCCGCGGGGTCAGGGTCCAAAAACACATGGGATTTGCCACATTTCTGAAATTCGGTGCCACCCCTCACGCAGATCCGCGGGGTCAGGGTCCAAAAACACAGGGGATTTGCCACATTTCTGAAATTCGGTGCCACCCCTCACGCAGATCCGCGGGGTCAGGGTCCAAAACACATGGGATTTGCCACATTTCTGAAATTCGGTGCCACCCCTCACGCAGATCCGCGGGGTCCGGGTCCAAAAACACATTGGATTTGCCACATTTCTGAAATTCGGTGCCACCCCTCACGCAGATCCGCGGGGTCAGGGTCCAAAAACACAGGGGATGTGCCACATGTCTGAAATTCGGTGCCACCCCTCACGCAGATCCGCGGGGTCAGAGTCCAAAAACACAAGGGATTTGCCACATTTCTGAAATTCGGTGCCACCCTTCACGCACATTCATCGCAAGGCGTGGTAACCCAAACTGCGAGAACTCCCTCGGCCCTTTAATCGCAAGGTGTGGTAACCAAGCCCGTAAACCATACACGTCTTACCAATCGCAGGTGTGGTAACCCCTCTTGTGATCAGTTGGTTTTGCTGATTGCGAATCGGCTTCGCATGAAGTTTCGATACTGCTTCACGACAGCGCCAAGGCCTCATGACTTAGCTCTTCCATGGCCCATTCTCCGAGAGAGGGGGCCGGCGGCAGGGGGCGAAGCCCTTACGGATCAAAAGAGGAGGAGGCAGAGTTCCGCTGGCCCTCCCTCCCTCCTTTATCCTCCCTCCTCCATCCCTGCCTCCCGCCCTCCTCTAGGGCCCAAGGACTCCTGAGAGATCCTGGTCATCCTCTCACTCCTCTTCCTCCTCCTCCTCCTCCTCCTCCTCTTCCTCCTCCTCCTCCGCCTCCTCTTGCTCCTCCTCCTCCTCCTCCTCCTCCTCCTCCGCCCTCCCCCTTATCCTTCCTCGAGCAGCGGCCGCGCCCGAGGGGAGGAGGCCGCCTCCCGACGGCGCCGTCAGCGCCCACGACGACGCCACGACGAAGACGACGACGACGCCCACACCCACGACGACGACGACGACGACGCCCACGACGCCGACGCCCACGCCCACGACGACGACGCCGACGGGGCGGCGACGACCACGCCGCCTCGCGGCGGCGCCCCCAGGCTGGGGGCTGGCTGCTAGAACTGCCTCCTCCTCCTCCTCCTCCTCCTCCTCCCCCAGGCCGGGGGCTGGCTGCTAGAAGTGTCCCTGGCCCAATGTGCCCCCAGGACGTCCAAACATGGGAAGCCCACAAAGGACATGCGCGCCCAACTGTGTACATGAACACGGCCCCCCGATCCGCGAGACTGGCCGCGTGATGCGAGCATTCGGGCAATGCGTACTCTCGAAACCAACGTGGATTCATGTACGTGTACGTCCTGCTTTCGCTCCTTAAAAACAGTGCCCCCCTCAAGCATCCGAGCAATCCGCGCGCAGCGCCGACCGTCTCTGTCTGTGCCGCCTTTGCTGTCTTGAGGCGTCGGCGAAGGCGAGGGCGAGGGCGACGACGACGACCGAGGAGGATGAGAAGGACGAGGAGGAGGAGGAGGAGGATGAGGAGGAGGAGGAGGAGGAGGAGGAGGAGGAGGACGACGAGGCGGCGGCGACGACGGCGACGACGGCGACGACGGCGACGACGGCGACGACGACGACGGCGCCCGACGCGCCGCCTTCCGCTGGCCCTGCCGTGTCGTCGTCCCCCGCCGCCGCGGCCTCGGGCGGAGGAGGGGCGGGGGAGAGACAAAGGAAGAGGAGGAGGAGGAGGAGGAGGAGGAGGAGGAGGAGGAGGAAGAGGAGGATTAGGAGGAGGAGGAGGGGGAGGAGGAGGAGGAGGAGGAGGGAGAGGAGAAGGAGGAGGAGGAGGAGGAGGAGGAGGAGGAGGGGAGCGGAGGAAGCGCGGAGGAGGAGGAGGAGGAGGAGGTAGAGGAGGAGGAGGAGGAGGAGGGGAGAGGAGGAGGAGGGAAGGAGGAGGAGGAGGGGGAGGGAGGAGAATGGAGGAGGAGGGCGGAGGAGGAGGAGGCGAGGAGGAGGAGGAGGAGAAGGAGGAGGAGGAGGAGGAGGAGGAGGAGGAGAGGAGGAGGATGGAGAGGAGGAGGGCGGAGGAGGGAGGAGGAGTAGGAGAGGGAGAGGAGTAGGGAGGGAGTAGGAGGAGGAGGAGGAGGAGGAGGAGGAGGAGGAGGAGAGGAGGAGGGGAGGGAGGAGGAGGAGGAGGAGGAGAGGAGGAGGGAGGAGGAGGGCGGAGGAGGGAGGAGGAGGAGAGGGGAGGAGGAGGGGAGGGAGGAGAAGGAGGAGGAGGAGGAGGAGGAGGAGGAGGAGGACGGGAGGAGGAGGAGTCGTCGTTCCCCGCCGCCGCGGCTCCGCCGCCCGGGCCCGCGGCGCCGCGGGTCCGGCGCGGCGGCCGGGGCCCTGCGGGCGGGCGGCAGCCGGGGCGCGCCGCCCGCGCCGGCGGCGTAGCCCCACATGGCCTGCGGCGGCGGCGAGGGCAGCGGACGCGGCGGCGGCGGCAGGGAGGAAGAGAGAAGAGGAGAGGAGGCGCCGGAGGAGGAGGAGGAGGGGGAGGAGAAGGAGGAGGAGGAGGAGGAGGAGGAGGAAGGGAGGGAGAGAGGAGGAAGGAGGAGGAAGAGGAGGAGGAGGAGGAGGACAAGGAGGAGGACAAGGAGGAGGACAAGGAGGAGGAGGAGGACGAGGAGGAGGAGGAGGAGGAAGAGGAGGAGGAGGAGGAGGACAAGGAGGAGGAGGACCAGTGGAAGCCCAAGACTCACCAACAATGTTGGAATAAACCCTCCTTCCAAGCTCCCTCTTCATAGGCCCCTACAAGGGTTCACTTCCACTCAAGGAACTGCCTCATTATAAGAAAACCGCTTGCGTACCCGCAAGCGCGTAAAAATAGCATTCTCGGGACCCCAACGCCACAGATCAACATGACTGTTGCGTCTTGACGATCCTGCATTCTGCCAGAACGTAACACGGATTGAGGGTGGGTCGTTTACAACATGTGGCTCTCGTCCCATCGCCGCTCACATTCGTGAAACAAAACTTGCCAGAGCTTCACAGATTGAGGGCGGCCCGTTTTCAAACTGTGGTTCTCGCCCTAGCGCCGCGCACATTCGCTTTAAACATGTGCAAGAGATCGACGGATTCCCATGGTCAACGTGCCAGAAATTGTGTTTTGGAAAGATTCAGGATTGTGAGGGCGCAACAGCTACCCTTACAAATGTTTACGGGCGAGAGCAATACTTAAAAAACGGCCCGTCCTCAATCCGTGAAGCTCTTACAACTTTTTTAAACGCGGAGCTCAAGCGAGAACCGGAGTTTGAAAACGACCCGCCCTCAATCCGTAAACTCTTGCGAAAATTAAAAAACGAATGTGCGCGGCGCTGGGGCGAGAGTCAGATTTTGAAAACGACCCGCCCTCAATCCGTGAAGCTCTTGCAATAGTTGTTTAACGAATGTACGCGGCGTTGGGGCGAAAGCCACATTCTGAAAGCGACCCGCCTTCCATCTGGGAAACTGTCGCCGACTTTCAAGCTTCAGGGCTACTGTTAGTCTCAAGCGAAACGCCCCGCCCGTTCTTTCGACCAGTTTCGTGGTGTGGCATGGAAGAACTACTTAGACGGAACAGGAATGGAGGAGGTGGAGGAGTAGGAGGAGGCGGAGGAGGAGCAGGAGGAGGGGGAGGGGCAACAGGAGGAGCAGGAGGAGGAGGAGGAGGGGGGGGCCAACGGGAGAAGGCGATGATGATGATGATGATGATGATGATGATGATGATGATGATGATGATGATGATGATGATGATGATGATGATGATGATGATGATGATGATGATGATAATGATGATGATGATGATGATGATGATGATGATGATGATGATGAGATGATGATGATGGATGATGATGATGAGCTGGAGGAAGGAGGAGGAGGAGGGGAGGAGGACGAGTAGGAGGGGGAAAGGGGGGGGAGGAGGGGATGAGGAGGAGGATGAAGATGAGGATAAGGGTGTGGATGCGGATGAGGAGCAGGACGATGATGATGCCGATGATGATAACAATGATGATGATAATTACAACGATGATGATGATGCTGATTGTGAGGATGACGATAGTAGCGGCGATGAGGTTGGTGATGCGGATGATGATGGGGTGGCCGCGTGACATCCCGAACTCTTGCCGCAGAGGGTAGGGTCTCCTGCAGCGCTTACCGCCGAGGGGCAGCTCGACAGCTTGAAGGGCCGCGCGAGCGAGCGAGCGTCATCACTGTTGAAAGGGGGGACGGCGACTCTTACTCTCTTGGTGAGCTAACCGAGAAGGAAGTGGAGGAGGAGGAGGAGGAGGAGGAGGAGGAGGAGGAGGAGGGGGGAGGAGGAGGAGGAGGAGGGACGAGGAGGAGGACGAGGAGGGGGAGGAGGAAGGGACGAGGAGGAGGAGGAGGAGCGAGGCGAGGCGGAGGACGAGGAAGAGGAGGAGAGGAGGAGGAGGGACGAGGAGGGAGGGAGAGGAGGAGGAGGAGGAGGAGGGAGGAGGAAGAGAGGGACAAGGAGGAGGCGGACGAGAAGAGGAGAGGAGGAGGAGGGAAAAAGAGGAAGAGAAGGAAGGAGGAGGACGGAGGAGGAGGAGGAGGAGGAGGAGGAGGAGGAGAGGGGCGGGCCCGAATCCGCTGAAGGAGCTCGGCCGGGGCGCCCGTGGTGGGCGCCCTCCGCAAGAGTCCGCGACGCGAAAGCTCGCCCTGGAGGACACCGCTCCCCCTTCACAGGAGTGTCCAGAGACACGTCATCATGGCATGTTCTGCTCCCCAGACCTCCTCGCGTCGTGAAGAAAACACGACGGGAGGTTTTGCGCTACTTTCGGCCTCGGGGGGCCCTTCCCGGGCCCCGGGACCGTCAAAAACCGTCTCGGGATGAGAAACCGGTCCCGGGGAAGGGGTCCAGACCTCTGGGGGTCGACGTTGTGAAAAAATCACAACGTCGGGGGTCTGGGTTGGCAGATCAGAGGAGGATGGTTGGGTATGAAACCTTGCCAGTGCTTACCCTGTCGGGGACTGCCCTGGCCAAGCTTCTGTCGGAGCCTCTTCTCTTCCCGTTCTGTTGTCGCCTGTGTGCGCACCGCTCGGCACTCTGTGGCACGCACGCTTTCATTGTGAGACGCTGCGCTTCCGTGAGGATTCAGAGCTTGGCCACCAAGGAAGATGATGGGGGGATGTCCTTGGCACTGACTAAGACCGGCTTTTGACTTAATACCGACCTTTGCATGTGCTGATCTCGTGGGCCGGCACCCTTTCGGATTCAGATGCCACGCCAGTTTCATTATTTCTTCGTGCAAGCTACACTGAGCACATATTTTCGGCAGTGCCAATTATCTTTGCTTCGGGATGTTGGTGCGTGGCGGGGAAGATCAGAGACGTTGAGGAGGAGAAGGGGGAGACGGCATTCACTGCGAGTGCCCGGTTCCATTCTCTGCAACGTGCTGTGTTCCGATCGCCTTTCCTCCTCCTCCTCCTCCTCCTCCTCCTCCTCCTCCTCCTCCTCCTCCCCCTCGTCCTCCTCATCCTTCTCCTCCTTGATGTTGCACTGCATGCTGGAGCGCAGCGGCGCGCAACACGAGCAGCGGCGAGGCGTAACCCCGCTCCTTGGCCACAGTGGCAGGCCCCCGGGGCCGTGAGGAGGACGAGGACGAGGACGAGGACGAGGACGAGGAGGAGGAGGAGGAGGAGAAGGAGGAAGGGGCCCTGGGACACACAAGCAAATACACACACACACACACAAATAACAGGATTCCCTACATTTCCCTATATTTTCTGGCTGTTTGTCCTCCTCCCCTATATTTTCCTATATTTTCCCATACTTTCCTGAGGATCGACGATTCATTGTGCCTGTGTGTTTTTCCCCCTCCTGAGAGGAGGAGGATTGGTGGGTAGAGGACACTAGAGGCTGAATGCAGCCCCGCTCCTCGGTCCGCTCCGCCTCCATTTTCTCTAGCACACGTGAGGCACCTGGCCACCGAGACACCCGCCCCGCCTCCAATTTTCACGTGAGGCAAGCGACCACCAAGACGTGAGGTGGTGTGATGGAGGATCGAGGGGAGGGGCGTGGAGATGGGTGTGATGGGGGGATGTCCTTGATACCGACTAAGACCGGTGTCTGACTCAATACCGACCTTTGCATATGTTGATATCTTGGGCCGGCAGCGTTTCGGATTCAGACGCCACGCCAATTTCATACTCCTGCGTGCACGCGACACTGATCACACATTTTCGGTAGTGCTGGTGATATTTACTTCGGGATGTTTGTGGGGACCGTGGTCGTCCATTGCTCGCCGACGGGCAACATGAATGCAAAGCAGGCCCAATGGATTCCATAGGAGCAGTTGTTCTTCAATCTCCTGGTGTAGCTGTTCCCACAGTTCTGAGTCCTTTATGGGCTTTCGAGGTTCTTCATCGGCACCCTCCGGTTACCTCCGAACCCTGGGGCCTCCATCTTTCCCTCTGGCAACTGCTGTCCAGCGACGGCACTTGATCAACCAATTGTTCGCAAATTGCAGTCCTGGCAATCTGGCATTTCCGAGCGTGGGTACGGCGGATCCGTTCATTGCGTCTTTGTTTCCAAAGGTCACACTCCAATACTCCATAGACATGTGGAAAGTTGCGGCACAAGAAAATCTCATTACCAAATTACGACCCTGTCACGCGAGAACGGGTCGCAAAGGGTACGGTATCGGAATGGCTGCAGGGAATGTTTTGCTTCTTCTCTCCGTTCCTCCTCCCCCTACTCCCTCTCTGGCCCGAGAATGGACAATGTATGGGGCGGAAGTCGCGCGAGTGAGTGTCAATGAGAGTACTCATGCCGTCGCGGCTCAAAGTGCCTGAGCTCCAACGCCGACTAGGAGGAGGAGGAGGAGGAGGAGGAGGAGGAGGAGGAGGAGGACGAGCAGAAAGGAGCAGGAGGAGGAAAGGGAGGAGGAGGAGGGGAGGGGGAGGATGAGGAGGATATGGGGGAGACGCGTGAGGATAAGGAGAGGAGAAGGAGGAAGAGAGGGAGGAGGAGGAGGAGGGAAAGGAGGAAGACGAGGAAAAACAGCAACAGCAGTAGCACTTTTTAATGGCAGCAGTGGTAGTAGTGGTAGTAGTAGTAGTTGTAACAGTAGAAATAATAGCAAAGGTGGTAATTGTGACAGTAATATGAGTCGTTCTGGTATTACTAGGAGTGGTGGTGGTGGTAGTGTTAGTAGCAGTACTAGTAGGAGTGGTGGTGGTAGTATTAGTAAGAGCGGTGGTGGTAGTAGTAGTAAGAGTGGTGGTGGTAGTGGTAGGAGCAGTAGCAGTCGTGGTAGAAGTAGTGGTAGTAGTAGTAGTAGAAGAAGAATAGGTAGTAGTAGTAGTAGTAGTAGCAGTAGCAGCAGCAGTAGTAGTAGTAGTAGTAGTAGTAGTAGTAGTAGTAGTAGTAGTAGTAGTAGTAGTAGTAGTAGTGGTATTA